TTCTTTCTCTCTCCCCCCCCCCCCCCCCATCCTTCCCCCTCCGCCCCCACCACCTCCACCAGTGTTGTGCGAGACATCAAAAAGGTCCAACAGAGCGTGGGCTACTGCCCCCAGTTTGACTCTCTCTACGACGAGCTGACGCCCCGGGAACACCTACAGCTCTACTGCAGGCTCCGCGGCATCCCGCCCAGCGATGAGAATCAGGTCAGTCTTTGACCGCTCAGATGTCTAGTCAGTGCTGACCCCTGTTATGTCCTGTCGGTACTGACCCCTGTAATGTCCAGTCAATACTGACTGATATAATGTCCAGTTAATGCTGATTATCACAATGACCAGTCAGTTCTGATTATCACAATGACCACTCAGTGTTGATTATCACAATGACCACTCAGTGTTGATTATCACAATGACCAGTCAGTTCTGATTATCACAATGACCAGTCAGTTCTGATTATCACAACAATGACCACTCAGTTCTGATTATCACAATGACCAGTCAGTTCTGATTATCACAACAATGACCACTCAGTTCTGATTATCACAATGACCAGTCAGTTCTGATTATCACAACAATGACCAGGCAGTTCTGATTATCACAATGACCAGGCAGTTCTGTCTGCTGCATTTTTCTAGTCGATGCTGACCTTTGTAATGTCTAATTGCTGCTGACCAGTGTGACGTCCTTTGTGGGTGACTGTGTTGTATGTAATGTCTTTCCCCCGGGTTTGGATGCACCGTTAACTCGGTGGGTATCGTGTAGAAAATCCAGCTTCAAATCTTCCTTTTTTCCTATGAAGCATCCATCATCCTTATCTCTCCTCTTTCTTTTCTGTGTAGTTACTCTCTAATAATACCTCTAATTTTCAGCACTCATATGACCTATCTGTGTTACAAGTGCCGTAAAAAAAACCTTTAAAAAACTGAACTGGTTCAAGTCTGCATGCAGTAGGGTGTTCTTGAACATTGGGTTGTTTTGGAGGTCCTCTAGGCTCTCTGTGGCTGATCTGTGGGTGCTCTGGTGTGGTTTGCTCCTTCTTTCCTATCAAACATCTACATGTATTATCCTTATCTTGCCTCCTTCTTTTTTTGTGTTTGGTACTCCCTTGTAACACCTCTAATCTTTGACATTCATATGACTTAATTGTGTTTCAAGCACCGTAAAACTTACTAAAGCTAAACTAGGCTTTCTGCCTACTTTACTCAGTCTCATCAGAGATGGGCATCAGTATTGAAAAAGGTGTTAAACCTGTGCAATTGTTTCCCCCCCCCCCCCCCCCCCTCCACTTTGTAGGTTGTGGAGTGGGCTCTCACCAAGCTAGGCCTGTCCAAATTTGCCGACAAACTTTCCGGGACGTTGAGCGGTGGCAACAAGAGGAAGCTGTCGACTGCTATAGCCCTCATTGGTCACCCTCCCGTCATTTTTATGGTGAGTCGCTGCACCTGTAATTGGTTTGTCTTTTCTCTCATCTTTTTTTTTTCTTCTGTAATAATTACTGATAGTGATTGCTGTCCATGCTGCCAATTATATGCATTTTAAAATGCTTTCTCCAAATGTTACTACTTCTTAATTTGATATTTATATCTGAACTTCAAGAAAATATTCAATCTTTCCTCTTTCATACTAGATTTTTTATTAAATTGAAATAGTGTTTACAGTTGTTGTGTGAGACTGACTGACCTGTTGCCAGTTTTCCTCTTAGAACAGAGATATGTCACTTTAAAAATCACCCAGTCTTGGTTTGATAAAGTCTTGGATAAAAATAAAGTATGACCCCCCATGTCTCCGTACATTTCAATGACCAGAGTCCAGTGTTTCCTGTTCCAGTAAGATATAGCCGTAACCCAACTTTTACTCTGCATGGTGCCCTCATGGTGACCTCAGATCTGTTCGCCAGGTGGAACAATGTTCCAAATGTAATGAAACTTTTAATGTGATGATTTGAATTTTCTATCTCTTATTATGTGTGAGGCCTGGGGAAATCGGTACTTACTTTTACTTTTACTTTTTCTTTTTCTTTTACTTTTACTTTTTCTTTTACTTTTTCTTTTTCTTTTTCTTTTTCTTTTACTTTTTCTTTTACTTTTACTTTTTCTTTTACTTTTACTTTTTCTTTTACTTTTTCTTTTTCTTTTTCTTTTACTTTTACTTTTTCTTTTTCTTTTACTTTTACTTTTTCTTTTACTTTTTCTTTTTCTTTTACTTTTACTTTTTCTTTTACTTTTACTTTTTCTTTTACTTTTTCTTTTACTTTTTCTTTTACTTTTTCTTTTACTTTTACTTTTTCTTTTACTTTTTCTTTTACTTTTTCTTTTACTTTTTCGTTTACTTTTACTTTTTCTTTTACTTTTACTTTTACTTTTTCTTTTACTTTTTCTTTTACTTTTTCTTTTACTTTTACTTTTTCTTTTTCTTTTTCTTTTACTTTTTCTTTTACTTTTTCTTTTTCTTTTACTTTTTCTTTTACTTTTTCTTTTTCTTTTTCTTTTTCTTTTTCTTTTTCTTTTACTTTTACTTTTACTTTTTCTTTTACTTTTACTTTTACTTTTACTTTTTCTTTTACTTTTACTTTTACTTTTACTTTTACTTTTACTTTTACTTTTTCTTTTACTTTTTCTTTTTCTTTTACTTTTACTTTTTCTTTTACTTTTACTTTTTCTTTTACTTTTTCTTTTTCTTTTACTTTTACTTTTACTTTTTCTTTTACTTTTACTTTTTCGTTCCTCTGGTAT